AATTCACCGAGGTCATCAAGGCATAGGTCGTACCAAAGCCATCGCGCGGAACTACGTTTATTGGTCAAATATCGATCACGATATTGAAGCAATGGTGAAAAGTTGTTCAAATTGTGCCGCAGCAGCTAAAATGCCCACAAAAACAACTTTACATCCTTGGCCAAAACCTTCTGATTCTTGGGAACGGCTCCATATTGATTATGCAGGACCAATAGATTCATACTACTATTTGGTCGTAATCGATGCGTTCTCAAAATGGCCAGAAATTATACAAACAAAATCTATAACAGCAACTCAAACAATTTCCAGCTTGAAAGAAATTTTCGCTAGATTTGGGTTACCGAAGACAATAGTTTCAGACAATGGTACTCAATTTGTGAGTCACCAATTTCAACAGTTTTTAGCGGAAAACGGCATTAGTCATATACGAAGCAGTCCGTACTATCCCATGTCAAATGGACAAGCCGAAAGGTTTGTGGATACTTTAAAGCGAGCACTCAAAAAGTTAAATGGGAAGGGGGTAACTGCTGAAAATCTTCAAACATTTCTACAAGTTTACCGATCAACTCCGAATAAGCAAAATGAGGACAGTAAATCGCCAGCTGAAGTTTTACTAAAAAGAAAAATCCGTATTAAACTTGACTTGATTAAACCAACGCTGGTGTCAGACCCAAATGTCAAGTTTAAAAACAAGTGCGATACACAACTCAAAATGAAAGCGCAATTTGACAAAAGGCATGGTGCAAAGCCAAAGTTTTACGAAAAACAAGAGCTCGTTTATGTCAACATATTCAAAAACAAACACTTTGAATGGACAAAAGGTAAAATAATCGAACGCATAGGTAACGTCATTTATAATGTTCGCTTACAAAATGGCAAACTTATTCGTGCACATGCCAATCAAATTCGTGACCGTAAAGATCAAGAAAATGAGTTATCTTTAGAAATATGTACTTCCGAAGATATCGCCAACGAAAAGTGTTTAGTTGATGCATTTGGCCTCTACGAAACAACACCTAAAGATGTGGTCGAAATAACTAACAACAACATGGTTTCGACTCCAGATCAATCTTTCAACAAAGTAACTGAGATTGCAATCCCTCAAACTGAGAAGCACAATGAGGCAGTTGTTCCGTATACCCGACCAAGGCGTACTAGACATCCTATTGACCGTTATAGACCCTAGAATCACCGCATTGGAGATTTAATCTCAAAAGGGGAGGTGTTGGCAACTCTGCCAAGATGACAGTTGACAGATAAAGTAACATTTACATTTTAACATTTTAATTCTGTCAGTTATTTTGAACTTGTGAAATAATAATAACTTGGAGTTTTTTTGAATAAATAAATATCTAAATTATACAGATATAACATGTAATTTAAAAGTTACGAGATATTTAAAATTGTGTTTGATCAACTTATGAGCGTCTATCTATATTAAGCAATTCTCCTTGTGGTGAATAGTTAGATTATTGTATTAAAAGCAAATTTAAGTATTCAAAGTGTTAAAAGGGCGCCACTAGCTAGTATATTATATCGCTTTATGAATAGCACATTGCTGCTACAAAACTCGAGAAGACATGGTGAACATGACGCGAGGTCTAAGCGGATATGTCAACCAAAATGAGAACGTATAAAAAATCAAACAGCTTAAAAGTCGCGTGGTAATAAAAGAGTTAACTCTAAGATACTCTAAGATATTTATTACCCAAAAGATACATATTGTGATGCCCTTAGCGATGTTGGAAAGTGCAATTAGGACATTATTAGAGCTGAGTATTCATCACAAGATATATAACCCAAAAAGTGTTTACCTTGTTAAAGTATCTTTACGATATAGCTATCACTGGCATTTACGATAGTGCATCTTTGCTGAAAATACCAAGTATGGATAACTTCTTAGTCCGTTAGCTCAATTAGATTGCCATAGTTAGCATATCGTAGTGTCACCACTGCTCATTTATATTAATCACTGCTCATGTATATTAAAAATCATACGAGTAGTCATATAACTACAGTTGGAAATACTGCCATTATATCGGATATCACTGAAAAAATGTCTTTAAATACTTTCTAAATCATTATAAAGATATGTTTTCCGCAACAACTTTCATGAAGTAAGTAATGACTTTAAGGTATAATATTATTACTTGTTTTTTTTTAATTTTAATAAAAAAAATTCAACTCCTTTTTGTTTCAGGAACTAGTCCCTTGGTTTTACTTCTGCGAATAAATGTTCTTATCTCAGTCTTTTCTTCAGTCATCAGCGATAATTGTGAACTGATGAAGACATAAAGAGATGAAGGAAAAATTCATGTAGCGTGTCTGCAATCAATTTGCTTAACCAGTATGTTTATTAGCCAACACGACTAACAGGACTTACACGGCTTACACCAATAATTTCCGTTTGTTTTGTTCCTTAACTTATCAGTGACTTCGAAGAACACATTTCGTTTTTGTTGTGCTCTAAGCTTTTATCGGAGCACAATGCGATAACCACATTTAGCGTTGCTTGCCACTAACACAAAACTGTATTAGTTGTGAGACGAAAGCCGCACGAAGTGCTTTTCAAATGGAAATCATGAAAATCCTATCCACTTCCAACTTCACTCAACTGGAAATCCATCATAATCATAATCAAAATTATCGTCAATGGCATTGCCTTTGCTGTTGATGTGACTGTTGCAGCTGACGTCGACATTGACGTTATTGTCATAAGTTGGCTTTTCAGGCTGAATCATAATTATTGCAGCAGTTGACGTTGCCATTGTCGCTGTGGTTGTGGTTGTCGTTGTCGTTGCTAACGCTGTTGACGTTGCGTTATGTCGTCATTGACTTTATTAAGCGGCAATGAAGTCAAGTGGAATTAAGATTTCATTACCGTACATGCACGAGATGTGATTTTATTGTTGCCTTAATTTTAGTTTTCAGCGCGTTTTCCAGCTTCCTTCTGTGGGTGCAGAACCCACTATTCTCATTTACCGCCAGGCGTTTATTGTGCTTTCCTTGTTGCTTCAGCTGCTGCTGATATTTGCCTTTCTGACTCTTCATATCTTGGTGAGTCAAAGGACAACGCCGCAGTTTCATGCATGTCTGTGTCTTCTTGTAGCCTAATTTATGTCTTCAAGCTGCCTTAACTTTAACTTTTAAATAAATGCCTTTTTAGTTTTATACAAGTATAAATCTTTGACGTTATTTATATCTTCTTAAAAAGTTTCTTCAACTTCAACTTTTTTGGAACTTAAGAATTTACTTAATATTTGGAATGGTAAACAAAACATCCTTGTCCTCGCCTTAACCCACAAAACTTACACATAAAGAAAATCAATTTAGTCATCGCTCTCTGGTTGAATAATGCAAAATGCTTGGATGAACATGTAAAATATTAATTTCAATATTTTCAATTTTATTAAATGGTGCTTATATGCATGGAATATTACCCAATATATTCACTATAATAAGGACGCTTAACGAATACAAATTAAATTTTTTATTTAATATATAATTTGCAATGTAATCATGTAGCATGTATTTATACGGGTTGTAGTCAAGATATAATGGGAACTTTAACTTTAACGCGAGATCTATCTAATTAATGCTATCGAGCATTTTTTGTGTATTGGTTGCCCTGTCAGTTAGCTATCAAGCAGTTGCTAATAAGTTAGCAACTTACACTTACAAAGTTAGATTTGTAAGTTAGCGTCTTTTGCAATTTTTTGTGCGACAAAATGTTAGATCAGTAAATTTTGAGAAAGTATTTTGTTAAAGAAATATGGACGGATAGGGCATAAATTACGTAAACCCTATGATGACATTACGCACACTGCGTTAACCTGAAAATCTTAAGGAATACGATGCAGAAGCAAGCCTGAAATAACCTGAAGGAAAATGATACTTCATGAAACTGGCAAATTGGTTAACGAATTTTAACAAATAGTACAAAATAGAAAATGTCGAAAAACTTTTGAGTATGTAGTATGAAATACTAAATAAATATGGAAAATAATAAATAAAGCCGAAAGCCAGCTATATTTCTTCCGAAGATTTTCATTTCATCAATGCAATACCATAATTAGTTTATTCTATACATATGAGACTCTTCCACTTAAAAAGAGATGGAATAGTCGTTGGATAGCATACAAATACTTTTTAAATAAATTTCAAATACTACATACAATATTATTTCACTCTTTACACTCCTAAAAATAGAAGATTATTCATTATTCAATATTCAGATTATGTAGTGTATTAAAAACATAGTAAAATTGTATTGCAGATCTCTGTCTGTATTACAGTGGAAAAAGCATGACAAAGCGATTAAGCGGTGATTTTATGTTAATACTCAGATTTAAAGAGCTTCATCAAAATCTTCGTCAGAGATTAACGGAAGGAACTGTGCTTTTGGAATATCTGAGAATCGAAATAGATAAATTTGACAAGTGAATACATTGATCAACTATGATATTGGTCACCTTCATAACCTAATAAATTTTCATAAATTGGATTTGATTTTATTGGATTTTAAAGTACCAAAAAAAAATGGGTGCACTTAGAAAAATATGCTCTAACCACTTACTAATTATATTGACCTGATCATTTTATTAAAAAAATTTTTACTCCTGTGGTAAAGATGATATAAAAACCAAGATGTGGTATGGTTGAACCAACAAGATGCGTCGAATAAGAATATATTGCACTGAGATTTAGTTAAAATCTGGTTAAATCAAACAAATTATTTTTCTGAGTGTATGTGCCAAATTTCACATCTCCTAGTAACATATCTTGAAAAATATCTTTACATATTTAAGAAGGAAATAGTTTTGTTATATCTCAAAAATTTTTTTAAAAATTTCAAACATTAAAAGTCCCTGAATTATAAACATTTTGTAACAATTTTTCAACTTTAATCATTTTCAAAATTTTTCATATATATTACTACATCATTTTACTATTATTATTATAAAATGTATATTATAAACTGTGTTATAATTTTAACTTACCCTGAAATTCTTTGCGTGCTGCACTCACTGACGTCACTATATTCGCTACATGTCCCAACACGGTTGCGAATAGCATCAATCCAAATAGCAATTGCAATATCACAAATATATATTCACCCTTTGATCGCGGCTTCGGTAAGTCCCCGATCGTTGTTAAAGCTAACGTACACCAATAATAACTTTGTAAATATTGTTTAACTACATCGGCCGATTCGGAATCATGATATACCCAATTCCTTGACCCGAATCCATTATTTTTATGTATAATATGATACAGACACCCGTTCCAATGGAATATCACAAGTAGGTAATGTATCAATGCAGTCGAACGAAATAGGTTTGGATAGTTCGTATGCCGTTCAGTACGATCCATAAATGCCCAAAATCTATAAATTTTAACCAAACGAAATGAACGCAATATGGAATTGAATCCAATCGAAAGATATAAAAAATCTAATGGCAGTAAGCATAAGCAATCGATGTAGAAGGTTGTTGAATTCATATAGTGTTGACGTAGTTTTGTGGCATCAGTTTGTAGGACACCATCCTCCAGATATCCGGTACGAAAATGAAAAAATATATCTATAAGATATAAAAAATCCGAAAAGTAATCCAGACAAAACCAAATAAATATTGTACGTCTATTGATCTCTTGAAAGGCGAAACGATAGATTATCACCCAGAAATTATATAGGAACGCTAGTGATACTACCATTGACCAGTAGTAGCACAAACGCCCCGCAGGATCGAACACAAAGTGGAATTTTCGCGAGGCAGTGGCAGCTCGAAACCGCTGCGAGGCGCTTCGATGCAATTGTTGATGTTGTTGTGTTTGTAACTGTTGTTGTTGCTGTTGTTGATGCTGTTGATGATGTGAATGTGTGACAGATGTTGAATGTTTTAATGCATATTGTTGTTGTTGTTGCTGTTGCTGTTGTAGCTGTTGATGGCTATGCTGAACAGTTGTAGTGGAGGCTCCCGAACGTGAGCGGGGATATCTAAAAAAATTAAAAGCGGCTATAATCAAAATTTAAAAACAACGAAAAAAAGGATGTATATCTTCTGCAAACATATTTATTGCAATAATTAAAACATCGTTTAAAGGCACTGATGATCAATATACTCGCATAAGCGTTCAAAAAAATCAAATAGTTATCTTAAGTGCGAGTTTTATTATTACATTGAAATACAATCCTTTAAAAATTTGATTGTGCAGCTAAAAAAATGCACTAAAAATGCAGTGAAGGAATATTGCACAAAGAAAATTGAATTTCCTTCCATTACGAGCGTTGCGCTCGGCGGTGTGTGGATGCGCCATAAGGACCTTTTTGTTAAAGTTGCGGAATTTTTGTGTGCTTAAACCGAAACACACATGCATATTCCCACAAAAGGAATAAAAGTATATAAAAAATATTATTTGACGATAGTCGAAATTGCTTTTGTTGAAAATACTATCGGGAAAATGGAAATTTAATACTCTAGAAAATACGTGAAAAGTGCACACTTTCGCAAAATGTATTTTGTTGTGTTTATTTTTGCGATTGCATTATCTCACAATTGAAATTTTGTTTCAGGAAAACAATATAAAAAAAATACGCGAGATAATAGGAAAACTTTTCTGAACACACATCGTCAAAATGGAAGCCAAATCGGAATTATAAGAATACCCGTGTATGAAATCCTTATAAAACAAAAGATACTTTTCAAAAAAATTGTTTAAATTAATTTAAATATATATGCATTGCTAATGGTATTTGAGGGTTTTCGGGCTAAGGCCCCTATGCACTGCGACCAGTTTGATCTATTGTGCACAATATATGCATTGCTAAGTATATATGTTTATATTCCAAAACATATTGAAATGAGCCCGCCAAAAAAATTTGCTGACTCACAACAAGCACAGTTTGATTACGCGTACATAAATCAATTAATGTCAGATCACCGGTTACCCAAAATTGCTACAAAATATTTGTCCCAAACAATATCGTAGTTCTTTGCCTAGTGGAATCTGGTAAGAGTTGAACACAGAATTAAACTTTATCTTTTTGACACAATTGTTGGGGTTAAACATGCTATGCTTTGAAAAATCGATATAGCATACAGAAACCACTTCGAAAAGCAAGTATGTATTATTAATACAATAAACATATATAAAGAGTGAGAGGTTCATTTAAGGTCATGACAAGATTATGTATACAACAGATAACGAGTTCTCACTACCTATGATATGGTATTGTCTTCATTTCAGCAATCCTTCTACTACCAATTAAATTTGGTTATTTTTAAGTCGAAATATATACCTAAACTATTGCTCGAGTATAATGGGAGGGGGATCGATTACTGATAAGTATTAATAATTTATAGGTTACAATATAAACATTTAAAAATGAATTTTTCAGCTTATACTACCTTAAAAAGATACACAGAAGTGTGTATATAAAATGTAAATTATTTGAATTTTATTAAATCAGTATTATTACTCACCTATCAGTTCCATTACAAAAATTCCCACTAAATTGATTGCTTCCCGCAAAGCCACCACTTAAAGTGTTATCTTGTGACCCGCGTGCAGTTGAACGATTCCAAGAGCCAAGCAAAGGTTGCTCGCCACTACTTCCTGTTTTCAGACGCCCACGTGCTTTGTGTCGCTGTTTGTTGTGAAGTAAATCCATTTCGGAGGCAGTGCTTACGGTAGCCACATGAGGATTGGAGGCACGTGATGCGCATGGTGTGGCTAAACTGTCGTGTGATGTGAAGAAACCTTGTTGTGAGACACTTTGACCAAATTTTGGCTGAGACATGCCAAACTTTGATCCTAAATCTGTAAAGGAAAATACTTCGCATTATTTATGTGCGTAAGGATTTATATGTGATTTAGATGAAAGCGATGATATGCAGCTAATATATTTGATTCATAAATAAAAAATTAATATTTTAACTAATGAGATTCCTAGCTTAGCATTAATGTATAATGTAAGATTATTATGATATTAGAGGTAGGCGAAACGCAAAATGACAAACTGATATAAGAAGTCAAGAATCTATGCTTCCCAAAAATATTTTTTATTTAATCCCTTGATGTTTCCTATTCAACGGATTATTCTAATGTATTAAGCAATGAAATGAAAATGAGTTAAAGGAGCAAAATTATAAATGCAAATGTCATGTAACATTCTTCCATGCCCTTTTTGCATTTAAATTTATGGTGAAATATGCACACAAAATAGATTTTTCGGTTTGAACTCGCTTACCTAAGAAACTTTGGCGATCGATTGAAAATCGACGTAAACTACCCAAATCAATGCATTGGTCATCACCAGTCATAGTTGGTGTGATCGATAATTCAGTTGTGTGGAAAGCACTGATGCCTGCCCTCCCGACACCACTACCACCACTCGCACCAGCACTACTGCCACCAAAACAGCCAAGTGTGTTGCCGTAGAAGCTTCCATCAAGCTCCGCCATTTGTTGCTCATGCACCGTTAGAGGTTGTATGGAACGAGAGCTAGTGTCACGATAAAGTGGACGCGGTGAAGGCACCAAATGTCTTAGTGTGCCATTCAGTGAGAGTCGTGGATGCATGATTTCAGGATAACTGGCGCGTGGTTTTTGTGAGATTCCTGACAGTTGAAGTGTTTCTTTTTGTTGCTCTTGGTCTGTTGTTTTTAGCGATGAATAATTACGATCTGAGTTTTTGTTTTTGGTCGAATTACCAAACATTTTGGATGTTTTCGTGTCTGTGGTTGAAGTTGTAGGAGGTGTTCTTGAAATTGTTGGTGTTTTACTGCTAGTTTCAATGTCAGTTATTATTTGTTTTTTCGTTAGTAGCAACCGCTCCTCTTCATCGTGGCTATGAAAATAACCGGAAGTTGGTGATGATTGTATATCTTAGTTCGTTTAAATGGAAATTGGGTTTGGTGGATTGGATATGTGTTGAACGCCGGAAACAAGAAAAATGGAACTGGGTTATTATATTGAACTATTTTTGTTTTTATTGTACAATAGCTCTAGAGCTATATTTAACCATATACACAATTGTGGTGGTTGAAGTAGTGGTGGTGGTTGTGGTTGTGGTTGTGGTTGTGGGGGTAGTGACAGTTATGTACTAATTGTGGATTTACAGTGGTAACACACACATTCATCTAAAATATACTAAATTTAAAAATTGGGATGTGATTTGAATGGGAAGTGTCGTGACATGCAGATTGTAAATTATTTGCGAAAAAAGGTTTAATATTTAAAATTAATAGAAAATATGCAAGAATAAAATATAACACATATACGGTATATACCCGTACTTAATTTTTTTTATAAAATGCTATTCAAAATACATGAAATGAGTACTTAGAATACAAAAAAATATGTGAGTATCGTTTATTTATACACAATATGCTTATACCAAGTTGAATATATATTATGAGCGTTTTTTCTAAAATTTGTTTGTTTGAGACTTAAATCTTCTATTATTTCTTAATGAGTATAAATGTTCTCCTGCGAAATAATTATACACGTCTCTTTGAATAACAATCTCATTAGTTTAGGAACTATTTAGCTATTTAATAGAGCTAAACGAAGAACAATAAGTTTAATTTAAGTTTGATTTGAACACCTACTATATGAATTACTGAAACTGGCGTATGTATCAAAAATAAATCTTGGAAGAATAATCTTATTTATCAACCATACAGTGTGGTTTTAAAAACAAAAATCTTGCAGAATGCAAACTTACTGGGTATATCTATTTGATAACAAATTTTAATAGAATCAGCTATAAAAGCAATGTGACATACATTATTATATGTATTGATAGCTGTAGCTTATTTCTCAACGTTTCAATATTTAAAGTGAACTTTTTACATTGATACACTAACGAAAAATAAACACGCCGTCTAGTTCCAAATTCTATATGTAGTCTTTACATTCATTTCACAAACAATAGCTAACAACAAATAAATGAAAAGATAGATTGTTTCGTAAAAATTTCTAACTTGAAAGCCCCGTACCTGTAAAACTATACTATATTAACATATAGCTCAATGGAAAAGTTTGTAAAGAGTGGCCGACTTTATATTAATCCGTTGCCAAGGTATGTCTTGAACATCGGTAGCATGCCAAACCCAATTACCAGAACTTTATCTACGGATATCCTTTTGATACGCGTCAGTTGGATAGAATTGGAAACTCCCTGTCAGTAGAACTAACCAATTTTTCTGGTTCAATAGAACTCCTTACTCATACTCCTTTGCTCTTAATTAGCTTGAAATATTTTAAGTTTAATAGCTGTTAATCTTAGCTGTACGTATATACCTATGCTTTCAGTTATTATGAAATTAACTTTAACTTATTAGAAGAATTTTTTACTACTATTTAATAATGATTTAAACTTACTTATTGAGATGAGTATTTTTGAATTTATATTGAAGCAACACGTAAGGAAGGGAGCAAGGGAGTTAAATATTCAATCATTAAGAATATTTGAAACTTTTTACCCACAACATCAATGTTTAAATTTATTTTCATGAAATATAATGTTTATATATGTTTTTAGTTAATTAATTTAGTTACTTAAACAAACTTAAATTATTTATTTGCATTTCATTTATTTTATTTTGATTAAATTGTAAACAAATCCTTTTCAGAATCCTTATGCAAAGATAAATTACACATAGGGAAATGAACAACTTCAACGAAGGCAAGTTTGATTTGAAATTCATTAGAACACTTAATAAAATTTCATGTATCAAATTCACGATAAGTGATTGAGTAAAAGATACACAAAAACTATTTAGAAGTATCTCGACAAAAGAATGACATACTTGTATAGCAAAAGACACACTTCATTTCATTAATAATGTATTTCAATGAACCAGAGTGAGACTTACACACCACAAACTTGTAAACTGGCATTCAGTCTGGAGGAGTTAAATATAACTCTGTCAACTCAGTCAGGTTAAGCACGTCTACTTGCGTCCTATGAATCGAATGCCATTGGGTTTGGAACGATTTATTCGCATATCTGAAATGTAAAGAGTCTTCTGCGAAAACATTAGACATTTCAGCTTCATTTTATATTATCCTTGCACTTATGTATAAATTTTTAGTACCAATTCGATTGAACTTTAATGCATTATTCGTTATATTTGCCATGCAACTAAAGGCTTTCCGATGCTTTTATGTTCTGATGAAGCTTAACGGTTTATTGCTTTCATTCGAGCAGTTCTGTCATTTTGTGATTTTGTGTGGAAAGTCCTTTTTTGTGTTCGAGACCAAATAACATTTCCAAAAACAATTGGTTTCATTGGTGCAGGCTAAAATGCCTCAAGTGAATTTAAGTGAGTACACGTAAGGTTTTTTGTTTGCCCAAACATTTGTGCTTGGGGAAATCGAATATTTACAGGCACTAATGAAGAGAATATATATTTCAATAGACCACAGAAAAACTTTTTTGACAAGGGTAAATAAAATATTAAGACGTTGAGTCCAGAAACAGAATAAAATAGAAATAAAATTAAAATGGGAAAAAATTAAATAAAACTTTTGCTACACTTTTAGCAACTTTATTATGCCTTTAATATCGTAAAGAAATTTATGTCGAAAATTTAATTTAATTTTTTATTTAATTTTTGGGTACGCAAACTCTTCACGCCTTTGCTGGGAGGAAAACGGAAAAGAAGGTTCAGCAATTTTTGTTCAATGTTTGCTCGAGCTTTCGGAAAAATACTGATGCATGCAAAAGGACTTAGTTGATTTTAATTTTCAGAAAACAAGGAGTAAGCAGAACATTAAATATTTATTTAATTTTAGTGGCTCACAAGTTACAGGTGTGTTTATTATTATTCCCTCTACCCAGATGTACATTAACAACCTCGTTTGTGCAGCATTAGGAACCAGCAGCACAGGTACAAGGCAATTTCATAAGACAGTTACACGCTAACTTACATGATTACACGCTTACACGCTTACATGTGAGTTTGTGTAATTTAATACACAAAAATATTTACGACTGTTCAGTGATTTAATAACCACAAGGCGGTCGTACTAACAAGTCTTGTTACTTGTTAATTAAATAATCCTACAAAGCTGAAATTTGCACTATAAAATCCTGTCTTCAATGCAAAATTAAGGATGCGTACTGGATGGTACATTAATCATACCTAATGGATTTGTTTGATTATAAAATCAAATTTGAAGGATATACTAAATCGAATTTTTAATCAACGTTTTTCATTAATGGATGAACAAATTGATTACTAGGACTTTAATAATTGACTTCTATACAGAGCAATTTTATTTTCAAAATTTTCCCTTCCATAATTGTAACTATTTCAGAAAACTAAAGTACAAAATGCAATCTATAGTCACTTATATTGAAAAGTGTTCATTAATAGGAAAAATGACTTGGTTCGGGGGGATATGACACATAACTCATTACGCTGTAATTATCGAAATCAACTTCTAAATAGCAATGTTATACTAAAATCATAAGATTAGAAAATCACAAGTTTCCAATCATAAATGGCAAATGATAGATAACAAAACCTAACATAAGATTCTAACCACCAGTTAATGGTCTATAGCTATCTGAGTGATATAATTTTTGGTACCTTGAGAATAATGCAAAGAAAAAAATTACGTTCTTTCAAAAAATGTTTAATTTATTTTGATTGAAAAAATACCATGCGCATTACTTTTAACATCTGTACATATTGCTAAACTGAATCCGATATGGAAATAAAGTCAATTTACCATCTGTATAAAGCTACCCATTTTCAACTCTAATATTAAGTCTGTCCTTTTTTATGGCTACGAAACATGGAGAGT